CTAGTGCCGAACGGACGGCACCTTCGCGTTCAACACACGTACGACCCGGTGACGTCTCCCATGCCTTGATCCAGCAAGGAGAGAGGGAGAGGTTGAGGAAGACTCCATCCAGCAGCAGCACAACAGCATGGTGGTGGTGGAGGAGCGTGGTACTCCAGCAGGGCTTCGCCAAGCATCGCAAGAGACGAGGAGGGAGAGGGGTAGGGCTGCGCCAAGAAGGAGAGGAACTCGTGTGTCTTGGGCAGCCCAAACCTCAAGTATATATAGGGGAAGGGGAGGGGCTGCGCCCCCACCCAGGGTTCCCTCCCTAGGGGTGGCGGCAGCCCCCAGATCCCATCTGGGTGGCGGCCAGGTGGAGGGGGGGAGGGAGGCGCACCAGGCATGGGCCCTAAGGCCCATCTGCCCTTAGGGTTTGCCCCCCCTCCTCCCCTTAGGCGCCTTGGGCCCTTGTGGGGGGCGCACCAGCCCACCTGGGGCTGGTCCCCTCCCACACTTGGCCCATGCAGCCCTCCGGGGCTTGTGGCCCCACTTGGTGGACCCCCGGGACCCTCCCGGTGGTCCCGGTACATTACGGTCCCGGGGGTCCCGGTACATTACCGATAAAACCCGAAACTTTTCCGGTGACCAAAACAGGACTTCCCATATATAAATCTTTACCTTCGGACCATTTCGGAACTCCTCGTGACGTCAGGGGTCTCATCCAGGACTCCGAACAACATTCGGTAACCACGTATATCTATTCCTTATAACCCTAGCATCATCGAACCTTAAGTGTGTAGACCCTACGGGTTCGGGAACCATGCAGACATGACCGAGACATTCTCCGGTCAATAACCAACAGCGGGATCTGGATACCCATGTTGGTTCCCACATGTTCCACGATGATCTCATCGGATGAACCACGATGTCGAGGATTCGATCAATCCCATATACAATTCCCTTTGTCTAGTGGTACGATACTTGCCCGAGATTCGATCGTCGGTATCCCGATACCTTGTTCAATCTCGTTACCGGCAAGTCTCTTTACTCGTTCCGTAACACATCATCCCATGATCAACTCCTTGGTCACATTGTGCACATTATGATGATGTCCTACCGAGTGGGCCCAGAGATACCTCTCCGTCACACGGAGTGACAAATCCCAGTCTCGACTCGTGCCAATCCAACAGACACTTTCGGAGATACCTATAGTGTACCTTTATAGCCACCCAGTTACGTTGTGACGTTTGGCACACCCAAAGCACTCCTACGGTATCCGGGAGTTGCACAATCTCATGGTCTAAGGAAATGATACTTGACATTAGAAAAGCTTTAGCAAACGAACTACACGATCTTGTGCTAGGCTTAGGATTGGGTCTTGTCCATCACATCATTCTCCAATGTCCATGGTCAGGAAACCGTAACCATCTATTGATCAACGAGCTAGTCAACTAGAGGCTTACTAGGGACACGGTGTTGTCTATGTATCCACACATGTATCTGTGTTTCCTATCAATACAATTCTAGCATGGATAATAAACGATTATCATGAACAAGGAAATATAATAATAACCAATTTATTATTGCCTCTAGGGCATATTTCCAACACATACGTCCATGGGACCTTTTTCCCTTTAATCACCGTTTGATAACCGGAGTGGGGAAGAACGGTGGTGGTGTATGTGATACATGGTTACCGCGTGTATGCACATATCTACATCTGGCTCCGCCCACAAAGAGAAACATATAAAGTGGCTTAGGAATCTGACGTAGCATTATGCTTAGGCATCTGTTGCATACACACATACTAGTTGAGAATCCGGACTCCCTGAGAACGCTTTAGTCCTATTGATTTCAACAAACTTCACTTTCATCCAGTGTTACTTTATTTTACTTTTGGAAGTTTATTTCTTAGCTCACCTCAATCACCCAATATTTTTATTCCATCCACTTTTCTTTGGATTGCATTTAACTTCTAGGCACTGCTATTTAAGCCATACAAGAGACAAAGACTGGTTTTTGTGCTCCCTGTGGGATCAATAATCTTACTTCGAAAAATGTACAACTAAACCTTGTGCTTTGCAAGACATCAAAGGCAGTCATGCATATCTTCCCAATAATCAATGGTCGAGACCCACAAGGGAGCTCTACAGCAATCCTATAGACCTCTGAAGTGAAGGGAGACTAATTGCGTTGACCTCTTACAGGTAAAAGGATAAAGAGTGATCATTGCTATCAAGCATTTTTAGTTTATTTTGGTTTGGTGAGGAGGCCTCTAGTGCCCTGCAAAACGGCTCTGGCTAGCAGATTGGGTCTATAGTGCGTCACCATCTTGGAGGACAAGATGGAGGACTCCTCTCTGTATTAGGATATGAATTGTATGTATATACTCCCTCCGTTCCAAATTACTCGTCGCAGAAATGGATGTGTCTAGAACTAAAATACATCTAGATACATCCATACATGCGACAAGTAATTCAGAACGGAGGGAGTAGCATGTACAGACCGACCCTAGTTAGCTACCATATGTAGAATTGGACAACTCCACGAATGACTCGGGACCTGTACCACGCCCACCTATATAAGGTCTGACACGGACCCCCCCCCTACGCACCTTAATCTAGCAAGGCATCCGATGTATAAGCCCCTACATGATCTCGGGATCAACCCCCTTATAAAAACAAACCCTAATTATCATACACGACTAGATCATCGAAAAAACAAGCAGGAAGTAGGGTGCTACCTCGATCCGAGTGCTTGGATCTGGGTAAGTTTTTTCCCATGTCCACCATCTGAATCTCTCATGCGTTCGTTATCCTGGGTATTGTCGGAAAATTACCACGACAGAGAACTCCTCGTGTCTCATGATGATGCTGGAGGTGGTCCCAACGATATGTGCGGAAAAATTTCTACGTGGTGGCTAAACTAGGCGAAAGGAGCCCCTCCACTTCTATGGTGCCCTTTATATAGCTTTATTTATTATCCTTTGATGCAGTTAAGTGGAAGGTCTCTTCCATAGATGGTGGCGCTTCTCCTTGGGCTGATGTGCTATCCTTGGACCTCGGGAGGACAGATGTGTTGTCCATGGGTCTTGGAGGGGGCATTGAAATTACGATGAGGAACAGGCAGTACAAAATCACCGACAAAAAGAAAACCACAATCATACCATGTTTTCTAGAGAAAAGGCATGAAGCCATCAACCGGCTAGGATACGGAGGAGTTGATTACAAAGGCCAAAACTTGACCAAAAACTGAAATATTAAAGGCATATCACACTTGAAACCAGGAACTACAAAGTAGCAAAGCTGGAAACGCCATCGCCTACACTAAGAAACCAAAGTCAAGCTGCCGGAGCGCCCATCGCAGCTAGAGTACCAGAGCATAGGCCAACCAGAGGCACCGACGAAAGTGGACAAGAGAGGCTGGACTGCATGGAAAGAAACCCGGCACTGTTGTCAATCCAAAGGGGCCAATGTTGGAGAGGAGAACGCAGTCTCCCCTACGTCCATGTCGTGCCACTACATGAGGATGCCATACACCGGCCAACAACCCACGATGGTACCGGAGAAGAGCCGCTGAAGGATTGCAGGCCAGCCAATTCGCCTCCCACATCACCGATTCACCGGCGGCCTAGAGAGCAGTGTACCACGGCCGCCACCATCCACCAAACAACACAACTGTGACCTCCGCCCATCTGTAGGATGACGCCTCCAAGGAGGAACACACCATTGGAACGCCGCTGTCGTCCGGTCCAAAAGGCC